GATCCGAACCCTCGGGCGGGAGCGCTGCCGCGCTTCCCAAGCGGCGCACTATCCAGTGCGCCACCGGGCCGGCCCAGTCTGCCAAATTTCTAATAAACTCTTATTATTTCTAATTTTTTTTAATCTTGGGTTATCTGGGAAGGTAGCATGCAAATGATGATTATTTTGCTTTTTCCCTTCAATGTTAAAATATTTAAATTTCCTTTTCTTTTTGAAATCGAAGTTTAGAACTTTGATAAAAGCACTGGAAGCTAGTGTTCTTGTCTTTCTGTGTTTAAATGATGACTTCTAGGATTTAAGATGAGGATTATCATGGTTAGATAAAGTATCCTTGTATTGAGTTTAGTAAGAAGTTTTTTTTTTGTTGTTTTTTAAAAAAAATTTTCATTGTTTAAAAATTTTTTCTGTATTATATATATTTAGAGTAAGAAGCATGATCTTTTGATATACATATGCATAGTGAAATGATTATTACAGTCAAGCAAATTAACATATTCATCATCTCACACGATTACCTTTTTTATTTTTGTAGTAAAAGTACCTATAATCAAATTAGCAAATTTCCAATGTATGATACAATAGTAACTACAGTCCTCATGCTGTACCTCGCATCTCTAGGATTATTTATCTTATGTAACTGACATGTTGTTGTACCCTTTGACCTTCATCTCCCATTTTTCCCCTGCCTCCAACTCTGTAATAACCTTCCTACTCTCTGTTTCTATGTATGATGCATCTCTCCTTGACAACTGTATTAAACTTCACACATTGCCCTGATTCATTTATGGTTTGGCTTAATCATCTTGAGTAATTTTTTCCCCCAGAAATTATTAAGTGATTTGTCTTATGATTCCTTGCATTTTTTTTTTGGTTGCTGGCTGGTATGGGGATCCCTTGACCTTGGTGTTATAACACTGCACTCTAACCAAGTGAACTAACCAGCCAACCATTCCTTGCATTTTTGAAAACGATTTTCTTTTGCCTATACCAGGGAAGGATAGTTTGTGAATTTAATTTTTTATATAGAATTATAGCCTAATAATTTTTTTCAAAGTTTGATCTCTATTGCATTGTCCATTAAGAATTAGAGTTGAAAGTTGACAGCAGTCTTTCTTTCCTTTGTAGGTAATGTGTTATCTACCTGCTTCCATCTATATACACACTTACACTGATTCACTCCTTCCTGTGATCCAGTGTTTGTGAAGAATTTTTTTTTCTTGAATTTTGAGATTAAGGAATTAGGATTTTTTCTGGGGGTGTGTGTAAGTCTTTCTCCACTTCCTTTCCCCCGAGGTTATTGGATGAGCGCTTCTAATCTGGAAAATCATCCGGGAGAAATTTTCTTCTCTTTTTAAAAATTAATGTTTTTCTTCCTTCACCTTTGCTCCATCTTTCTGGAAGTACTAGTACATGCATATTAGATTTTCTAGAATCAATTGTCCAAGACTTTTTCTTATTTACCGTTTCTTCCTAAAGTATAGAGAATTCCCAGGCTAATTTGGTTTTCAGCACTTTCTTTTCTTCTACTCAGTGTATCAGGACATTTAAAAAAAATTTTTTTTTGACACATAGTTTTTCATTTTCTTGTTCTTGAATTGTTCTTTTTTTAATGAGAGCCCGTTTTTTTTTATACAAATACAGTATAAAAAAGTAATATTGTTTTAGCAATACTCTTGGATCTAACTACCAGTAGGAATTTATTATGTTTTTGAAAGTTTATGTCTCTACCATTTTCTGTAGTATACTTTGTGTTAGAGCAGAGCCTTTGGTCAACATGATTATCCTCTTGGGATCTGTTTTTGTTATTTGGTAATCTTTTACTGTTCACTCATGTTTGTAAAAAGTATTCATTTCAGTGTGGGATGATTGTAAGGGTCTTCCCCTTTTCCCCCATTGATGGGTTTTTCTTTTATTGTGCCACTTGTCATAGTACAGTGGCATGTGGGGAGCAAGTCACTGAGCCTTTTTAAATTTTAAATGTCTTAATTTTTGTCCTTTGTAGTCAATGGAAGTATTTCAGTTGAAATTAGAAGAAGCTGAAAAAACTGCTTCCACAAAAGAGGATCATAGACGAGAACGGTGGAGGAAACCAACATATTCAGATAAAGCACAAAGTAGTCAAGAAAATAGAAAATCAGACTTAGTAAAATATCAAGAAAGTTCAAGGGATAGATATGCTACAACAGATATTGCAAACAATAGCAATAAAGATAAGTTTACTGGTGATGAAAAAGATAAAAGATCTGGGTCTTTAGAAAGACATGGAAGAGAATCCAATCCAAGGCAAAATCAAGAGCTTTCTTCTCCAGGTGATTTGAGACATAAATTCTTAAGACCCTCTGATGATGAAGAACTGTCATTTCGCAGCAAGGGCAGAAATTTTCAACCATCTAGTTTACCTTCAGCATTGGTAGCTCAGGGTTCTTTGCGTTGTGGTTTTCGAAAACCCACTGAGAACCGTGAAGAGAGTTTAACATCATGGAGTCAATCTAATGGGAGAGAAGGAGACAAGAAACATTCAAATCAAAAGCCACTGGAAACCAGTAGCAGTGTTGAACACCAACATATTCCAGAGGACATGAGAGAAAAATCAGAAGATGAAAGCCTGAGAAGTGACACAAAGTCTACATTTGCTGGGTATTTTATCATTTGTTTTTTTTACTGTGATAAATGAATATTAGGGTTCAGAAGATTCAAAGAACTGAACAATATTTTTAGAATATCATTTGTTAATTAGATCTGAGTACGGTCTATTTCTTAAAATTGATGGAAGAGATAAGATAGGCAGATTTAGCAATACAGTAATATTGTTTTGTGGATTGTATTTTTTTTTTTCACTTCTATTTTTAAAAGAGCTGGAAGAATTCAGTAGCACTATTTCCTCAAAATTCGTTGCTTTTTTGCAATTTAAAAACTGGAATGAGTGAATCTTTTAAATGGATGGGCTTCAGGAGAAATTTGAGTAGATTTCGTTGTCAGTGCCATATTACATTTTAAGGAAATTACCCCATTGTTAAGTATAATCATAATTATAAATACTGCATGTCTATAGGAGTTATAGGAGACTGAAGGAAAATATGCTTCTGTAACCCAATATGAAGTGACAAATATAGGTGAAAGATCCTGCAGAGGGAACCATGAATTATGGTTGTTGTTTTGCAGAAAAAGCAATAATCCATGTTGGACAAAGGCAGATTTTAAAGATAATGTTAGGATTTTAAGTGTAAAATAAGGGTAGGATAATGATTGTACCCATAATGATTAGGAAAATAGATGGCACTTACTGTTTTTTTTATTGTTGCACTTATATAGGTCTGTGTCAGAAGATGAGGAAACTCAGGATGAGTGGGATCAAAGCTAGGAAAGCTTGATTTAGCTTTAGGGCTGGCCCTGTTGGAGGTAGCCAGAAATAAAAAATGTGTCCAAGGATAATGACAAACATATACTTGAATGATCATTAAATTGTGTTAAAAATGAGTGGGACACTAAAGGAAGGCATTTTAGGAAATAATAAAAATCAATGGTAGTAGTAGATATAAGCATTGTGGTTTGGGGTCACGATTCTGATAAATCGCTTTTGTTAACGACTCCATCTGAAGCACTGGATTATAAAGCACAGTGTGTAACTTTCTATGGGAGGAAGCTGGCAAAATCTAGACTGAGTGATTGAGCCCCAGTCAGATGAGCTCTGGTTCAGGTCAGGGCTTTGCTCCTAGGAAACTGAAGGAGAAATTCAGTTGTATTGGCTGAATAAGCAAGGAAGGGATTAGAGAATGTCTAAGACTGTGTGCATACACAATTGTCCAGGTCTATCCTGGATGGCACACTATTTCTAGTTCCCAGTTGCTAGTGGGATGAAACTCTTATTTCCTGATATAATTAGGGTTGATTTAGCATTTGGACGATCACTAGGTCTTGACTTTTGTGACTGTAGCTAAGCAGAGTATGCAAATCAATCTTAACGTTGTTAGTATTTCGTCTGGTTGTCTGATTGCTTCATATTTGTGTGTCTTATTCAAATTGTAAACTTCTGATAGGTATACTGTAATATAAGCACTCACTAAAAGCTGTGTTTGTGTATATATGTGTGTGTGTGTTTTGGTTTGAAGACAGTATTCTTTGTTACATGTGTTAATTTTGATGTTACAGAGGGTTTGAGGCTTTTCATGAATTCTGTGATTGTCTGGAGAAGGAAAGAAAATCTGGGAATCATCTACTATATTTGAATGAAAAAAAAAGATTGCTGAGCATGTAGAGTGGTGTAAAGTAAGAGACCAAGATAGAACTTTCAAGACTGCTTAGAAAGATTCAGTGAAAGATTGTTAGCTGTTAATTTTATTATCCTGGGAATATGTTGGTTTTTTAAAATAAAATTCCAAAATTCTGGGGAGTTTTAGAATCAATGAATTTTAGAACTAGAAAAAAATCACAGAATTGATTTTAGAAATAGGAGAAATTAGTCTGATCCTTGCATTTTGTATATGTAGAAACTGAGAGAGCTGAAGTTGTGACTCACACAATGTATTATGTAACTAGGGTTTCCAGATTTTTTAATAAAAAATATAAGTCTCTTGCAATATTTGGACATACTCATGCTAAAAAGTATTTGCCATTTACCTAAAATTTAAATTTAGCATAGTATCTGGTTCATAGTAAGTGCTCCATAAATCTTAGCTGTTGTTGCTATTAATATTATTAGTTATTTGCAAGGCTTCGATTAGTCTTCATGTCTTCTGATGCCCATTTAGTGTGGTTTCAAATAAGATTAAAAGTAGAACCATGAATTTTCTTTGGGAAAAAGACCCTTTTCTTTTATGCGCTGATTATGGAAAAGTTATTGATATCCTTTGTAAGAGTAATTTTGGTAGAATATAAGAAGAGTTGACCAATTAGTGGCATAGTAGAGAGGAAAAAAGATATATAAGCTGCAAAAAGTGAAACATTTTCAGTGATGACTGGAAAATACTTTTAGTCTCTTGTAAATTGGGTGTCGGAATATACCATAGGTCAATCTACCAGACTGTGGAAAAGTTGTAACAACTAATAGCTTTGTCTCATATGAATAGTAATAGAGAAATTAGTTGAATTGGTTTTATTCCTTTATATGTATCGTTCATTTATGTTTACCTTTCTTGCTACTTTAATAGTTTTAAAACATTAAACCATTTGTAATCAAGTAGATAGTAAATGCATGTGTATAAAATTTAAATGGTGAAGGCAGAAGAGCATAAATTGAAAAAGTCTCTCTTCCTTGTCACCCTCAACCCTAATCCCACTTGTCAGGTTAATAGTGTTAACAGTGTCTTTCCAGATTTTTTAGTGCATTTGAATGTGTGTAATTTATATACTTAGCATATAAAATTATATACATACATAACATATATAAACTTAAATATCTTCATAACACATGTTTTATTCTGAATATTGTTTTTTCCAATCATTATATCTTAAAGTTCTTTTCACATTAGCCCATATGTATCTACCTATTTTATTTTAAAAGCTCTTTAATATTCTGATGTTAAACTTAGGTATAACCTAATATTTCTCACCAGTCTCCTATTAATGGACTTTTAGGTTGTTTCCACTTTGTTGCTATTACAAACAAGGCTGCAATGAAGTTTTTATGTGTGTCTTTGCACACTGTTGAAATATAGCTGTAAAATAAATTCCAAGGAGTGTAATTATCAGGTCAAAGAATACGTGCATTTTACTTTTAATATGTTTTGTTGTATTTACCAATTTACATTCTTACAGTCATATATGAGAATGACATTTCTCCTACTTCCTTGCCGATAGTATATTGAACTTTTAAAAAAATCTTGGTCATATACATAGTTGAGAAACAGACTTGTTCCTTGTTTTTTTTTCTTTAAGTGTGAATGAAATTGGCTGTATTTTTATGTGTTTATTTTTATTTCTGTTTTTGTTTACTAGACATGTTTTGCATGCTTTTTGTGTTATTTGCAAGAGCTCTTTATCGTTGTCATGTAATGTAAATAGTTTCTTCATCATTTGTAATTTGCCTTCCTTCTTTTTCTTTTTTTATCCATTCTTTTATTTTTTCTTTAATGTGATCAAATTTATCATCCTTTTCCTTTGTTCTTTTTAGGCCCTGTGATTATTTTAACTAGTAGGAAAACATCCTCCAGTAGTAGCCCATATGGTTAAAAACTTTAAGCTTATTTTTTGTAGAAATGAAATGTGGTTGCTTATGTTTTTCTTTTGTTGGAAAATAAATTAGTTAAGTACTTTCAGGAATTTGAAACCTACGGTAGTATGTAATACGAACAAAAATTAATGTGATGTCCTTAATTTAGATTTTGTAAATTTAATATCAGAAACCAACCCATTTTACAAAATATTTTAGCCTTGGAATGTCATTCTTGGCATAGTTTGTTATTATAGCCCAAAAGGGAAAGAGAAGGATTAGCCTTGGGTGGAAATGTTAAAAAAAGAGGAACATATGGCTACAGATTATGGGTGACAGGGGAGAAAATTTAGGAATTCTTTCTTGATGACTTAGGTCAGTGTTTTTCAATATATGATCTCCAGAATATTGGTGATCTTCTTGGTCTATGCATGGACCACGATGAGTTTGGTTACTTCAAGGAAAAAAAAAAAGTGATGCAATAATTTAGTTCACATATAGCTCACAAAATTGAAATATCCTGCCGTTGTTATGACTCTTACTGTTTTTAGCTTATTTTTATGCCCAAATTTTGATGAACCTTTGGAACAAAATTAACCTAAAATTATTGGTCCATGTGCATATCATATTTCCCTTAAGTGATCCTTGGATACTGAAAATTTGGGAAACGACGTGTTTCTTACACTCATTCAGATTTGAAAAAATATGTCTGGACTGGTGTGTCAAGGAATGAAGTAACAAGAGGAAGTTATTTTCACATCACAGTTGTCCCTTGGAATTTAAGTTAGATGACTTTGATAAATTCATTGTGTTACTCATTTTTTATTGTATTTACTGAATGCTTCTATTTCCTAGTCCTGGTGGAATAAAAATAATTATGACATAGTATCTGCCTTCAAAGAACTCACAGTACGAGAGAGGCAGTCATATAGATGTGAACGAATATGGTACATAAATGTCATGATGCTTTATTACAGGTATAAGTATAGATACTTATAGTTATGGTACTTACACACATGAAGGGATAATGAGCTCTTCTGGGAAAAGATTAGGGGGAACATGACCCAGGTAAGTTGTATAGGGAAAGTTGTGAGAACAAGTGATAAGAAAAGAATAATTAAAGGGAGATCTATGGACACTGCCAGCACAAAAAGAATAATTGCAGTATACTCAAGGTTTCTGAAATATCATTGAGCTAGAGCCCTTTTAATTACTTCTTCCTCTAAAGTTTTATGCCAGTGTTGTGTGTGTGTGTGTGTGTGTGTGTGTTTTAAAGAGAGTAAATTTTAATGGGAAAATAGGATGTAATTATGCATTATACCTACATTTCATATGCTCTTAAGAACTTTCCTGTTCCACCAGTAGTCCAGAGGATGAGTCCATCCACATCCTGAGTGTTGATGAGAAGAACAAGTTGGGAGCCAAGATTATCAAGGCAGAGATGATGGGGAATATGGTGAGATGCTTATATTTTGTTCTTTTAGAGAATAGTGATTAAATATTTAACTTCTTATGAGTAATTTTAGAAGTTCCTCAGCAGCGTGGATGTAGCACACAGTGAAAATAACTACTGCTTATTGATTCTTTTAAGAAATTCTTGAGCATTTCTAGAAACAGTACTATGTGTCAATTTCTAAATAAATTACTTTCTCCATCAGATTTCTGAAATTTAAGATCCTTAGGGAACTATGTGCTTTTTAATTTCTTTTTTACTTTGTTATTTGCTTTTTATTCTTACATTTCTAACTTATTGAGTATATTTGAAAGAGATAAAGATGTCACTGGCTTCTTTCCTAATTTTAGTTATATATTATTAGGAACACTTATTACTTTCTTAAATTACTTAAGAATATAAAAAATGAGTTCCTATAAAAGCATGATTAATTCATGTATTCAAATTTTAAGGCAGTGGTTTTGTGCCTGATACTGTGTTCAATGCTTTGTACAGGTTAGCTCATTTAATTCCCATAGTAATGTTTGACTTAAGACCGATTTACCTCAGAATTGAATAGAAATAGGGACGACTACAAATGAACTACATTCATTCATTTATTCATTTATTATATTGTCACATGCTTGTTAAAATAATATATAATAATATATATATGAGGGTACTTCCAGAAGTTCATGGAAATATTTGTATTATCTTTTAATTCTTTTCTGCCACAAACTTTTTGAAGTACCCTTTTATTAAAGTGCACGTGGCAGAATAGCACAGCCAGATACCATTCCGTGTCTTGATAGAAAGATTCACTCATGGTTATACATATGCACTCATCTTACACACAATTATAAGTGATCATTAAGTTCAGTTTTGATATACTCTGAGTAGAATAAATGGTAGCCAAACACAATATTTCTATTTTTATTAGTTCGTATGTCTAATAGAAGGCATATCTGGCATATGCTGCTCTTTCTCTTTGAATCTGGTCTTTGGTAACACTGAACTTCGACTCACCCCAGAAATGCGACAACAATAGCAAGAGGTAAAAGAGGTAAATCAACGACAGTGACTAAAGCAAGAAAATGAAGTTTGAGTTTTGAAACAAACTCAAAGTAGTAAGTACTACTCAAAGTAGTACAGAGTAGCCGCCTAAAATAGTGAAAGAGAGGTCACCTAGGTAGGTGGTTAAAAATAGGAGTTCCTGTGTTCATGGAACCACTGCAGTGGAGAATGCTGTCCTTTGCTTGTCACATAGATCTGCTTATTTAATTTATTACTTTGTGGTTTATTGCTTTATATGGCAGTTGTTTACATAAATTGCTATGGGCTTCGTAGAGTAAAAATGAATTCTATTCAGTATTTTTATCTAAATTATTTATCAACAGTAAAGAAGGTAATATTTCAAATCTTGTGATGGCTTCCTTGTTACAAATAACTGAGCTTGTAAGTATTGGAAATTTATAATATCTACTTGCAAAAATGTCATTCTTAAGATTATGTATTTCCTCCATCTCCTCGTCTCCCCCAAAATATATGTCCTTGTACTTATTTATTTTCAAAGCAACAAATATCACAGGTATTTGAGAAGTGTGTAACTGAGATAAGTTCATTAGACAGTAATATACTAGGCCTTAAGTTGGTAATTGAAGTTAAGTGATGGCTACATGGGTGTTGGTTATGCTATTTTCCTTTCTGTTGTGTAAATTTGAAAATATTCTGTAGTAAAGAATTAAACTGCATATTACCCCTATTTCACCTGGTTTTCTTTTTGAAGGAATTAGCTGAACAACTTAAAGCTCAACTTGAAAAGGCAAATAAATTCAAAGAAACTGTGACACAGATATCATCAAAAAAATCTGGGGTAGAGGTAAGTAATAAATTTTCTTTGCAGGCATATAATTACCTGTGTAATACCATTACTGTGCAGTGGTAATATTTTAATATGAGATGTGTCTTTGTCTCTGTGTTTATGTGTGTGTGTATGCTTCTTTGTTTGCTTATTTTTGCAATTTATTTTTATATGTATTCTCTTACATTCCACCACTGTGCCCTGGTGAAAAAAACCTAGGTTTGGGGCCAAGGACTTATGCTTTTATTCTGCTCCTTACTGACTGTTTGACCTTATACAAGTCAAACTGCAAGTCAAACTGTTCCTTAAGTTTTTCCCCTACAGAATGAGACTTGAACTAAATATCCATTTCATTTAAAGCAAATTACTTTGTTTCATGATTTATTTATCCATCTATTAGTGAACAAAACAGATAAAAACACTTGCCTGAATGGAACTTTCATTTGGGTAGGGAAAGACAATAAATGATAAAAATAATAAATAAATAAATTTTACAACATATTAGAAAGTTATACATCCTATGGCAGGATAGTGGGGAATTTGAATGACAGATGGGTTGGTGACTTGGGGCACACAGGCTGATTCTCACTGGAAAAGTGACACTGATGCAGAATTGAAGTAAGTGAAGGAGTGCATCTATGTGTATCTGAGTGAAGAGCACTCCAGGTATAGGGAACAGAGAATTTAAAGGCCCAAAAGTAGAAACATGTCTGACATGTAGGAAGAACAGCAAGGAGACCAGTGGTGCTGGAGTGGAATGAATGAGGAAGAGTGAAGTACGAGATCTAATCTAGAGAGATCACGGGAGGCCAGATCATGTTAAGCTTTGAAAGTCATAGTAAGGAAGTGGGCTTTTCTTCTTCTTCTTTTTTTAAAAATTTTATTTTATTTTGTCAATATACAATGTGGTTGATCATTGTGACCCATTACTGAAACCTCTCTCTCCCCCCTCCATCCCAACAACCTCATATCTGTTTGCTTGTCATATCAACTTCACGGAATTGTAAGTGTTGTGTCTTCTTCCCACCCCACCCCCCCAGATTATTTGTGTATTTATTTATTTTTAGCTCCCACAAATAAGTGAGAACATGTGATATTTCTCTTTCTGTGCCTGACTTGTTTCATTTAATATAATATTCTCTAGGTCCATCCATGTTGCTGCAAATGCAGTATTTCATTCTTTTTTATAGCAGAGTAGTATTCCATTTTGTAGATATACCACATTTTCCATTTCTCATCTGCTGATGGACATTGGGGCCGGTTCCAACTTTTAGCAATTGCAAATAGTGCTGCAATGAACACTGGAGAACAGGTATACCTTCAACATGATGATTTCCATTCCTCTGGGTATATTCCCAGCATTGGGATAGCTGAGTCATATGGTAGATCTATCTGCAATTGTTTGAGGCACCTCCATACCATTTTCTGTGGAGGCTCCACCATTTTGCAGTCACACCAAAAATGAATGAGAGTTCCTTTCTCTCTGCAAGCTTGCCAGCATTTATCATTCACAGTCTTTCGGATATTAGCCATCCTAACTGGGATATTAGCCATCCCGCCAGCATTTATCATTCAGAGTCTTTTGGATTTTAGCCATCCTAACTGGGGCGAGATGGTATCTCAGTGTGGTTTTGATTTGCATTTCCTGAATGCTGAGTGAAGTTGAACATTTTCTCATGTGTCTATTGGCCATTCGTATATCTTCCTTTGAGAAATGCCTATTTAGCTCTTTTGCCCATTTTTTAATTGGGTTACTTGTTTTTTTGTCATAAAGTTGTTTCAGTTCCTTGTATATTCTGGATATTAATCCTTTGTCAGATGTATATTTTGCAAATATTTTCTCCCACTCTGTTGGTTGTCTTTTCACTCTGTTAATTGTTTCTTTTGCTGTGCAGAAGCCTTTTAGTTTGATATAATCCCATTTGTTTATTTTTCCGTTGGCTTCCTGTACTTTGGGGTTGTATCATGAAGTCTGTGCCCAGTCCTACTTCCTGAAGTGTTTCTCCTATGTTTTCTTTAAGAAGTTTTATTGTTTCAGGGTGTATGTTTAATTCTTTAGTCCATTTTGAGTTGATTTTAGTATATGGTGAGAGGTATGGGTCTAGTTTCATTCTCCTGCATATGGATATCCACTTTTCCCAGCACCATCTGCTGAAGAGGCAGTCCCTTCCCCAGTGTATAGGCTTGGTGCCTTTGTCAAAGATCAGATGGCTGTAGGTGTGTGGTTTGATTTCTGGATTCTCTATTCTGTTCCATTGATCAGTGTGTCTGTTTTTATGCCCATACCATGTTGTTTTGGTTTTTATAGCTTTGTAGTATAGTTTGAAGTCATGTACTGTTATGCCTCCAGCTTTATTTTTTTTGCTCAGAACTGATTTGGCTATGCGTGGCCTTTTGTTATTCCATATAAATGTCTGGATACTTTTTTCCATTTCTGAGAAAAATGCATTGGAATTTTGATGGGGATTGCATTGAATTTGTAGATCACTTTGGGTAGTATGGACATTTTCACAACGTTGATTCTTCCAGTCCAAGAGCATGGGATATCTTTCCATCTTTTTGTGTCCTCTCTGATTTCTCTCAGGAGTGGTTTGTAGTTCTCATTATAAGGATTTTTCACCTCCTTGGTTAACTTTATTCTTAAGTATTTTATTTTTTTGGTGGCTATTGTTAATGGGCAAACTTTCTTGATTTCTCTTCCTGCATATTCACTATTGGAGAATAGAAATACTACTGATTTTTGTGTGTTGGTTTTGTATCCTGCAACTTTGCCAAAATCATTTATCAACTCCAAGAGTTTTTTCATTGAGGCTTTAAGCTGTTTGATATATAGGATCATGTCATCTGCAAACAGGGACACTTTCGCTTCATCTTTTCCAATTTGGATGCCTTTTATTTCCTTCTCTGATTGCTCTGGCTAGTACTTCCAACACTATGTTGAATAGGAGTAGTGAGAGTGGGCATCCTTGTCTAGTTCCTGTTCTTAAAGGAAAAGCTTTCAGCTTTTCCCCATTCAGGATATTGGCAGTGGGTTTATCATATATGGCTTTAATTATGTTGAGATACTTTCCATCTATACCTAACTTGTAGAGAGTCTTTATCATGAGCAAGTGTTGAATTTTATCAAATGCTTTTTCAGCATCTCTAGAGATGATCATATGGTCCTTGTGTTTGATTTTATTGATATGGTGTATCACATTTATTGATTTGCGTATGTTGAACCAAACTTGCATCCCTGGGATGAATCCCACTTGATCATGGTGTATAATTTTGCATATGTGTTGCTGTATTGTTAGCTAGTATTTTATTGAGGATTTTCGCATCTATATTCATTAAGGATATTGGCCTGTAGTTTTCTTTTTTAGTTGTATCTTTACCTGGTTTTGGTATCAGGGTGATGTTTGCTTCATAGAATGAGTTTGGGAGAATTGCCTCTGTTTCAGTCTTTTGGAATAGTTTGTAGAGAATTGATGCCAATTCCTCTTTGAATGTTTGGTAGAATTCTGCTGTGAATCCATCTGGTCCTGGGTTTTTCTCTGTTGGGAGCCTTCTGATAAGAGCTTCAATCTCTTTTATTGTTATTGGTCTGTTCAGATTTTCTACATTGTCTTGGCTCAGTTTTGGTAGTTTGTGTGTTTCCAGAAATTTATCCATTTCCTCCAGATTTTCAAATTTATTGGCACATATTTGTTTATAGTAGTCTCTAATGATTCCTTGTACTTCTGAGGTATCAGTTGTAATATCACCTTTTTTATTTCTAATTTTTGTTATTTGGGTCTTCTCTCTTCTTTTTTTAGTTAGTCGTGCTAATGGTTTGTCAATTTTATTCATCTTTTCAAAAACGAACTTTTTGATTCATTGATCTTTTGTATCATCTTTTTGGGTTTCAATTTCATTAAGTTCTGCTCGGATCTTAATGATTTCTTTCCATCTGCTAACTTCGGGTTTGGATTGTTCTTGTTTTTCTAGTTCTTTAAGATGAAGTGTTAGGTTGTTCACTTGCCATCTTTCCATTCTTCTGAAGTAAGCATTTAATGTGATAAATTTCCCCCTTAGTACTGCTTTTGCAGTATCCCACAGGTTTTGGTATGATGTTTCTTTGTTTTCATTAGTTTCAGTAAATTTTTTGGTTTCTTCTTGGACCCATATGTCATTAAGTAGAATGCTATTTAATTTCCATGTGTTTGTATAGTTTCCAGAATTTCATTTGTTATTGATTTCTAATTTTAACCCACTGTGATCTGAAAAAATACATAGGATAATTCCAATTTGTTTGAATTTGTTGAGACTTGATTTGTGACCTAACATGTGATCTATCCTTGAGAATGATCCATGTGCTGATGAGAAGAATGAATATTCTGAGATCATTGGATGAAATATTCTGTAGATATCTGCCAAGTCCAATTGGTCTAGAGTGTTGTTTAGATCTTGTGTTTCTCTGCTGATTCTTTGCCTAGATGATCTGTCCAATATTGATAGTCAGGTGTTCAGGTCCCCTGCTATTATGGTGTTAATGTCTATTTCCTTCTTTAGGTCTAATAGAGTTTGCTTTATAAATCTGGTTGCTCTGACATTGGGTGTGTATATATTTATGACTGTTATGTCTTCTTGATAGATCAATCCTTTTATCACCATGTAGTGGCCCTCATGATCTCTTTTTATGGCTTTTAGTTTAAAGTCTATTTTATCAGTCCTAAGAATAGATACTCCAGCTTGTTTTTCATTTTTGTTTGCATGGTAAATCTTTTTCCATCCTTTCACTCTTAGTCCATGTGAGTCTTTATAGGTGAGGTGGGTCTCTTGAAGCCAGCATATAGTTGGGACCTCCTTTTTAATCCAGTCAGCCAGTCTCTATCTTTTGAGTGGGGAATTTAATCCTTTTACATTAAGAGTTGTTATTGAAAAATGTTGATTTACGGGAACCGGTCTCCACATGGGATCCGAACCCTCGGCGGGAGCGCCACCACGCTCCCAAGTGGCGTACTCTCCAGTGCGCCACTGGGCCGGCCCTCATTGTT